GTGAAAAGCGCTGTAATATGTCTTTGATATTACACATTTGGGCAATTCCACGTTAATGTTACGTTAGTCTGTACTTAACTACATATTTCACTAAAAAATGCAACATTTTAACTCGGTTTTTGGTAGATTTTTACGTGACTAACACAAGGCTACTGTGGAAGTGCCCATTTCGGTTACAACGACATTCATTTATAACGACACTATTTTTAGGTCCCTTTGATGACGTTATAACCAAGTTCTACTGTAACTTAAAATATACAAGACGGCTACTGCCATGCACTTCTCAGATAATGATTGACTGGTATGAGACAAAGTTGGTAAGCTACAATGCATAATTTATTTCTACCGTTAACTAGACCGCATCTGTGGTCTAGTGTTCTGAGTTCCTGGCTAGAGATCCAGAGGTCCGTGTACGATTCCTGGCGCTACCAGATATTTTGAGCAATAGTGGGCCTGGAACGAGGTCAACTCAGCCTCGTGAGGATAATTGAGGAGCTATTTCAAGGAAATAGCGGCTCCGGTCTAGAAAAGAGAGAATAACGGCCGTGGAGATTCGTTGCGCTGAACACGCGACACCATCTATCTGCTAAAATTGGCATTAAATTCGCCGACAAGCGGCGGTCGCTGGGTCGGTATAGTTCGCTTACGGAATAAATCCACGGAATTTGTTTTTGTTTTGTTTTCTACCGTTAATTGTGTTCTCCTAAAAGCCCGACATATTTCAGTCTCACCACCAGCAGTGGGATTAAGTTTTTTAAAATAAAAGCTGAAAAATCTCATATTGTATAAAACGAAAGGGTTAAAATATCTGTGATATAAATCCCCCATATAGTTAAAACTGATATTATGATGCAATATACTGTTGTATGTTGTGGTTATTGCATTGGCGCTGATTACAATGTTTCGTGCCGTGCTATGTGGTGCTGTCTCATACCTGCTCTCTGTTCGTGTCGATACTGTAAAGCGCTGCGGTACCTGATCAGTGAAGTGTTGAACTGTTTATATACTGTCAAAATGCACACAATTTGTTTTGAGATAACACAGAAACACTCTTGAATTAAGTACTGTCAATTAATACAGAATTATTCTTGGGAAAATATTCATAGTTACATTCCAGATTCTTAGTCTTAATATTGCTATTTAAGAAAAGATCCTACTGAAATTTTCAAGTAAAATGTCTTTTTTTCGGACTTTCCAATATGGTCGTCATACTTTAAATATTTCCACGTGTTAATGACTAGGCACGGGGTTTGGATTGATAATTTGAGTTACTGAACACTTACAACTCGCAACTACAAATATTTATACCGCTCTCACTAATCTATGCGCTTAACCAGTGGCGTGCGGTACTATTTTTGGTAAGGGAAGCAATGGTATCTAATAAACGAAATGATAGCAATCAATTCACCAAAATTTACGTCACTGATTGAGTCAATAAGGTCGTTTTGTATTCTGTTCGACAAACCTGGAAATACTGTACTGTTCTCAAGATGAACGTTGAGTTTATGATCACATTTCCTCAACAAGTGAACTAATTCCACATAATTACCTCGGTCTATAGAATCCACGCTTTCGTCATGACCACGGAGGCCAAGTTGCCGCTTTCCTAAATGGCAGATGACATCAGTCAAGCGTTTCATTATTTCTCTATGTAGTATCATCAGGCGCTGTTGATTGTCAAGTTGACAGTCAATTCGAGATTTCCCGAAAGTAACAAGTTGCACTGTTGAAATAATGCGAGTCTGAAAGATCTCACGTCGTTTCAATGCTATATAAAGGTTGTTGATATCACCAAACCCAGTCTTGTTTCATACATTTTTTCCTTGAGAAACAATAGGCATGGCCAACAAAACAATTTTACTATAGTACGGCAACCACTCTGTTTTAGAATACTGTTCCAAATTAAATTTCCTCACACATAATTCGGTTTGTGCTTTAAGTTCTGGCACCCCTCATGTCGGTCGACCTCTTTCTATAATTATTTTCTTTTCAGAGAAGTCCCTGCTATTAAAACCCCCATTTTAAAAAGCTTTCGATTGCACAGTCACAGTCACGTTGTCTGTCAGCATTCATTTCAGCTGTTGCCTGTGCGTGTAGTCTATTCACGCCCCTGCCCATCTTACCGCAATATCAGGCTTGCTTCCCTTAAACGCAGATAGCTTCTTTCTGATGCGTCAAAATACGATCACAAATACAATCTTACACCATATAAATATACACTTACAATATTTTAATAAAACTTAATTTTACCTATAACACCCAACAAGACTGAAATCACACATAAACAGTTAATTTTCACATAGCCATCGAAAGAACACATTCCTTAGCTGGTCTAGCCAGCAAACCGAAATTTGCTTCCGTTGCCCACTTAGGATGGGACGAATTCGTACGCAGATTAATGAAGGAAACTTGGTCCTTCCCACCAAGCAGGGTAAGGAAGGAGGAGACATGTGACCTTGAGCAGGAACACGCGCTAAATGACAATATTCAAATCCTTATGATTCAAATTGAATTATTTATATATGACTTCTTTTCTTTTCGTTTCTTAACTACGGACGCAATGCTTCCATGCACGGCACGCCACTGATCCCTCCTTAATAAATATGGGAACAGATGTACAGCTTCATAAACTCGTCACCTTGGCACCAGAGCAGAGCTCTGCCTGCTACGTGCTTCACGCTGGTTTCTTCTGTGCCTTATTCTTCATCCCTGAAGATAAGAGGCAACATGTTCCTCCGAAACGTCAGCTGACTTTCAAACAGGCTACACGTCATTATGTCCCAAATGATAGAATTCTTCACCTTAGATATTGTTTCAGTTGGACTATGCTCAGTGATGATCAAAGTATATACAGGAACTCTCCTCGTCTGCCAATTCGATTACACGCGTGACAATAAAAGCGAACTCTTTATTTGCTGAATGACGAAAAACTCGATCGTACTAAGCATGTCAAACGCGCTGTAGTAGCATATGAAAAATAATACAACTGTTAAAAATGTAGAGATATTTTAGCTTTTGCGTACGCTTTTGTGTAACCAAATGTCTGGTCCGTCACACGCAACAGTGTAAACGTTCAGCTTAACAAGCATCGTTCTTAAGTGTATTCAACGCGGATTCACCGAACGTGCACCTTTCGAGGGGCGTATCCCCAGCTTTGACTGATGGTTTACTCTATATTAGGATGGCCGTTTTTGCACTTTAACCACCTATAGATTTTATTTGATTATTGTACTAATTTTGTAGTATTGGCATAGTCGTAAATGCGACAACAGTGACGTCAGCAACTGAATGACAGAACTCTTCTCGTAAAATTAACTGCAGAACGTTATCTTTCGGGATTATAACCGATTTTCCTTCTGCCTTCCTCCATTAAAGGCGAACAAAACTTACAAAACATAAATCACGCATATCAGTTGCTTCAAAATACAATCAGGAGACCATAAGTAAAGATTCGTTCACGGCCTTGCATAAAGAGGTTCCTTAAAATGGACAAAAAGAAACATGGCCTGTAGTCCGCAAGCGAACTATACCGACCAAGCCACCGCCGCTTGTCGGCGAAGTTGGTGCCAACTTTAGCGGATGGAGGGTGTCTCGTGGTCAGCGCAACGAATCCCCACGGCCGTTAATTTCGATTTCCTAGACCGGAGCCGCTACTTTTCCATTCAAGTAGCTCTTCAATTATCCTCACGAGGCTGAGTGGACCCACTACTTCTCAGAAAATCTGGTAGTGCCGGGAATCGAACCAGGGACCTCTGGATGTGTGGCCAGGGACTCTGACCACTAGACCACAGAGGCGGTCTTAAAATGGACAAAAATTAAATGTAAATCAAAATAACGAGGGGTACAATTTCTACTACATCAAGTTTAATCTAAATCGGTCAAGTATTCGGGTTTTCGGACTTTATCCATCGTCCTGGATTTAAGATAACTAAGAAAAACACGTTTCGGAAACGATCTGTTTCCATCCTCAGGTGAGGGAAAACACCTATTCTGCTGGGTCCCTTAGAAAGAGCTAGCCTCAATCACTGGTCCACCCAACAGAATAGGTGTTTTCCTTCACCTGAGGACGGAAACAGATCCAGTTTCCGAAACGTCGTGTTTTTCTTAGTTATCTTAAAACCAGGACGATGGATAAGTCCGAAAACCCAATATCTCTGTGTGTTATACACCATCGTCAGAATCCTATAGTAACTACTCGGTCAAGTATTATCCGGACGTTCATATATGCGGATTAAACGAACATGAAACTAAGCGAGGCTTTGTCGATTCTTTTTCGAAATGCATTCAAGTACGGCCGAACTACTGAATGCAACAGAGCCTTCCATACGGCCAACATACACAATATCCCTACTTCCTCCTTATTCCCATTCCAAGTGGGCTGACGTAACAACACGCCTTAGCCTCGTATCTGGGTAGTGCTCGGTTCAAGTCTCGGCTGGGACAAGGGGCTTCTGAGGATTCTCGTGGCTTTCATCGGTTCCTCCAGTAAAATGCTGGGTCGGTAACTCGATTAAATCATGATTATTTCTTTCCTAATCCATCATTCATCAATCAATCTACCAACCTTCGACGTTATACAGCCTTACCACTGACAGCGCCCCCCTCCACACCTACACACAATCCTTTCCCATTTGTCATGTTCTGCTTAACTGCTGCGGCACAGTGTCTTTCATTCCCTTGTGTCTTCGTCTCACCACCTTGAAAGTATTACTCGTACAATTTAATGAACGATAGTGGAACGGTACCCCCCAAAGGTATCTCCACTTTATCGAGGTGGTGGGTCTTGCGTGACTATGTGACCTGGAGATTAAGGTCTTTCATTCTGGTCCGTCACACTAACAAATTAACAATCAGGTTCCTTCCGTCAAATGTGACACTTTTTTAAGTTTTCCACCTCGTCACCACCTGCCTTACATGTTTCGGCTCACCACGGAGCCATCATCAGAGGCATTTATAGTAGAAAAAGAAATCACCAACACACAAAACTTCACTTTGTCCAAGATAGCCACGTTCCAGTTAATTAAAATAATTACAAATAGTTAAAATTACCCAGA